ATCGAGTGAAGTTGCTCTCCGGGCTGATGTATCATTGGTGCAAACCTTTGACATTTTTCACATTTTCGAACAAACCCTTTTGCATCTTGTCCATATCGATTCAATATACTTATTCCTCCAATCCCAGGTTAAGCTTGTAGAATTTATCTCGGCATGACCTTCTTCGATCACGAATCTCGAGAGCTGAACGACAGTCCCCGAGCTTATCTCGCCTTCCTCGACTGATGATCCCAAATTTGCAAGTGCATCGGCCTCGCTGTTTTGCTCTCGTGGAATATGCTGTAAGGTCCATTCTTTGTAATGGTGCAAAGTGACCTGTAGTTTGTCCAAATACCTTTGCATTCTATCTTCTCGAATTTTGAAGGTTTTGTTTACTTGATTTACCACCAGCAAAGAGTCACACTTGGCTTCAATGACTTCTGCTCCCAAGCTTTTAGCTAGCTCGAGACCTTGCTCTTCTCAAACTAGGACACCGCTTACCGCGATTTCCGATACTGCCAAGTACAAGCAAAGTTTTTCGTCTGTTTTTGGAGTATGAAGCAGTGGTGGGCTCGATAGATATCGTTTTAATTCTTCTAATGCCTGTTGGCATTCCGAGGTCCAAGCGAAATCGTTCTTCTTTTTGAGTAGAGAGAAAAAATTGTGACTTTGATCTGACGTTGAAATGAATCGGCCCAAGGCTGCCCTCCATCCCGTTAGCTTTTGCACGACTTTTACGCTGTCCACGATGGCGATGTCTTTGATGCCCTTGATTTTATCGTAGTTAATCTTGATCCCCCGATTTGACACCATGAAGCCGATGAACTTGCCCGATCCGGCCCCGAAAGCACATTTCTCGGGGTTGAGTTTCATGTTGTATTTCCTTAAAATCTTGAATGTTTCCTGCAAATGGGTCAAATGGTCCTCTGCGCGCAGGGAATTAACTAGCATGTCATCAATATAAGCTTTCATTGATTTACCTATTTGTTCTTCGAACATTTTGTTTACTAGGCGTTGGTAAGTAGCTCCTGCATTTTTTAGCCCGAAGGGCATCACATTATAACAATATGTTCCATACTTGGTGACATATAAAGTCTTTTCCTGGTCTTTCGGGTTTATTTGGATTTGATTATACCCGTAATAGGCATTGAGAAAAGTAATTAAGGACCTCGTGGCCGGCCGTGGCATCGATCATGCGATCGATGTTGGGCAGCGGAAAGGAATATTTGGGGCATGCTTTGTTCAAATCCTCATAATCTACACACATTCTAAGTTTGTTCCCTTTTTTAGGAACTACAACTACATTGGCTAACCATTTAGGATATTTCACCTCCCGAATGGACTCTATTTTGAGAAGTTTAGTTACCTCGTCCTTTATGAATGCGTGCTTTACCTCGGACTGGGGTCTTTTCTTTTGCTTCACCGGTCTGAACCTAGGGTCCAAGCTTAGCCGATGCTTCGTTATATCCGGTGGGATCCCTGTTATATCTAAATGGGACCAAGCAAAACAATCTACGTTATCGATAAGAAATTAAATAAGTTTTTCCTGAGTTCGGGGGTTAACCCCGTTCCCAGGTATACTTTTCGTTCGGGCCAGTGCTCGATTAGTATGACTTGCTCCAATTCCTCAATCGTTGATTGGGTAGCATCGGAATCATCGGGAACTACGAAGAATCGAGGGATCCTTTGATCATCATCTTCATCGATCTTCTGGTTGGGTTAAAATTGATGTCTGTGATTGCTATTTGGAATCTCGTTCCCCTTTTGAGTCCGATCCTTTTTTTTGGTGACGGCGAGGATATCTGATTTGCTTTCTCGACGGCAAACATTTCTCTTGCGGCTGGTTGTTCTCCGTACACTGCTTTGACTTTCCTCGATGTTGGGAATTTAAGAACGTGGTGTAGGGTCGAAGGTATAGCTCTCATGTTGTGGATCCATGGCCTTCCAAAAAGAGCGTTGTACCTCATGTCGCCTTTGATTATGTATAACTTCATTTCCTCGATGGTCTCGGCCACATTAATTGGCAGAATTATCTCTCCTTTGGTGGTTTCATATGCCATATTGAATCCGTTTAGAACAGGGTTACAGGTACGACCTGGTTCTGTAGACCGAGCTGTTCTACAACCTTCAATCTAATGATGTTGGCCGAGCTACCTGGATCAATTAACACACGCTTAACTTTAGTTTTATTCATAAGTACGGATATTACCAGTGCATCGTTATGAGGTTGTATGACTCCTTCTGCATCTTCATCATTCAAGGACAAAGTTCCTATGGGTGCGTAATCCAGAGTTCGAGATCGTTTTTCCCTCACAATCAATGTCTTAGTACGTTTAAGCACCGGCCCTTGAGGGGTATCAACGTCGCCGATGATCATGTGGATGACGTTCTGTGGTTCTTCTTGTTCGTTTTGTTTGCAAAAATCCCTGTTTTGAAATGGTTCTTCGCCCTGTCACTTAAAAATTCTCGAAGGTGCCCTTTATTGAATAACTGGGCTACCTCCTCTCTTAGTTGCCTACAATCTTCCGTTCTATGGTCATGTATGCCATGATATTCACATATTTGATTGGGATTACTTTGGGCAGGATCGGTCTTCATGGGTCGAGGCCATTTAGTATCTTTGATGCGTCCGATAGCTGACACGATGGCGGATGCATCAATGTTATACTCCGATAGCCGAGGTGCTTCCTTAGATCCGGTAGGCCTGTCAAACCCACTTCTATCCGTCAGCCCCCGAGACCCTTGACCTCCATCACTTCTTTTGTTGCTTTGTCCAGGGTTATGTCTCGATTTATTGATTCCGTGGTTTCCACTATACGATCGGTATCGGTCCCTAATCGGACCTTGTTCTTGATTGATATCCCTTCGAGCAGCGGGTTTAGCCCTCAACTGATTATCTTCGACTCTAATTTTTGATTGGTACCGATTGTGCACATCGGCCCAAGTGATAGCTGGGTACTCGATCAGGTTGTGCTTCAGCCGCCGTGATGCCGTCAAACTTCCTTCGTTCAAACCTTGAGTGAAAGCCTGAACAACCCAATCGTCTGTGACTGGTTGCAGATCCATTCGTTCTATTTGAAAATGAGATACGAACTCCCTTAGCATCTCGTTATCCTTTTGTCTTACCTTAAAAAGGTCTGATTTCCTCGCTGCGATCTTTATGGCCACGGCATGTGCCTTTACGAAAGAATCTGCTAACATGGCAAATGAGTCGATCGAATTCGGTGGTAAGTTGTGATACCAAATCATTGCTCCCTTCGAGAGGGTCTCTCCAAATTTTTTTAACAACACAGATTCGATTGCATCGTCCTCCAAATCATTTTCCTTGATGGCACACGTGTAAGAGGTGATGTGTTCGTTGGGATCGGTCGTTCCGTTATATTTGAGAATTTCGGGCATACGAAATTTTTGGGGATTGGTTTTGGGGCTGCGCCTGAGGGAAAAGGCTTTTGCACGAATTTTTTGGAATCCAACCCTTTTATCATTGGTGGAGCCCCCGGTATCTCGACCCTGGAATTATATGTTTCTACTTTTTTATCGTTGGCTTCGACCCGCTTTGTGAGCTCCTAGAGTATTTTAGCAATTTCGGGAGTAGTCCCCGATTCTTGCTCATTTGACCTCACTATGGCTGGCTCCGTTCTGTGGAAAATTTCTCGAGGTGGACTGGGCTCCGGCCTGCTTGGTAGCTGGGTTTGGCTCTGCAACTGAGCTATCGCTACCTGTTGGGCTTGCAACATTTCAAAAATCATACGCAAGCTAACGCCTATTTCCTCAATATTATGGGTGTCTCAAGCTGCAGACCGAGTGCCACCATGAATGCTATTTTCAGGTTTAGAATGTAGGTTCGCCTCAATGGCCATATGCAAATTGATATCTATCGGCACTCCGATCCGAGCTCCAACGGCGTTGACAAGTGATCTTTCGGTACTGGGCGTCAAGTTGTTATTCTCATCTTGAAGACCAGTTTCGTTATCGATAGGTAAGTCTATTCGATTGGTAGTTAGTCGTTGCTAATCCAAAATCCAAGATACTTTCAGAAACAAGCGCAACATGGTGTATTTTTGCAGATTCGTATCAAATAACCATTGTTATCCTTAGCCCCACAATGGGCGCCAAATTGTTTACCCGAAAAACGGATAGAGTTTAATTTGTACGTAGTTCTAAGGATATGTGGTATAGCTTAATACAAATTGTAATGATAAATAGAAATCTCAAATACAGATTCCAAATAAACAAGGTTGGAGAGAAGATTATTTTTAGGACTAAGCAAGATGAATCAATTTATGAGAATAACTCTTCAATATAGGAGTGTATGGTGCTTGAATTTACAATGTAAGCCAAAGAACTGCCCTCTACAGAAATGTAGTCATCCTATTTATCGTGGAGGATCCTACTTTAGATATAATCAAAGATACATAGTCGAGAACCCATGATAAATCAGCTTTTTCCTAATTTCCGCCGAGATTTTCTCGCTTAGTGTATTTGCAACGGCTCTTGTCTGTGAGCTCGAGCTCGATCGGCCTCGGTGCTGGTCGGTATTGCTTCTAGAGCTCGATGTGGACTCGGAATCAGGTGATGATTCAGGCTCGGTATCGGTTGGCCTCTGCCCCTTAAGTTCGAAATCATCTCATCATAGTTCGATTCGGACCCGAGCTCGATAATGACTTCGAACTAAGTGTTTGACTTATACCTGAAATCTGAAGCTCGTTCATACCATCTTCGAAACCCATCTCGATATTACAAAATCTTTCTTCGATCCATTATGTTTTGACCTCGATCTATCGTACTAAGGCCGAAATCAATTTCTATCGTATACGTAACTATTGGTAGAAAAAGACAGTTCAAGAAATTAGATTAACTCATTGACTAGCTACTAAGGCAGGTTGGTGTTGTGGATATAAAACCCCAACGGTTTTCAAGAAAGTAGAGAAAAAACTGTTTCTCAGAACCCCTTAAATATTATCTCTAGTTTTTATTTAAAAGCAACCAAACACTTCTTGTACATTTAATCCACCATTACTGAAAGGAAAGCATCATCAGAGAAGAAGAAGAAGTAGAAGCAGAGATGACATTAGTTTGGTCTCCAGAAACAGCTTCTAAAGCATATCTTGACCCTATACAAACGGTGAGCAATAACAGTTTATACTTCTATTAATTTGTCTCTACTTACGTGCGTACCTTTTAACCTTTTTCCTTCAAATTTGTTCTGGGGATTACAATCATATGCAGTGTGAGATATCAAGTAAAACCAGCGCTGCAGAATTTTTGGCAGCCATGGCTGGAGGGTACAATGCAAAACTAATAGTTGAAACATGGAAGAAAGATGAAAATGGCGAAGCAAATATCACAACGAGCATAGGTAATAAATCGTGTGAAAGCTTAGACGGTTAGAAAATACGCTTTTATTTATTTACTTATAATATGTTATTATGAGTCGAAGTCAGGAAATTCAACAAGAGTGTTCAAATTTTGAACACCCTTTGCCAGTGGGCTATGTAAGGGTGTTCAAAGTCTATTTTTAATCAATAACAAGTACTACATATTTTAAAAATAATATTTCAGCGAAGGTTGGTCAGTTACATAGCTTCGTCCCTCGTTATTATGGGTAGTGGGAAGATTTGATTCCATGACCTTTGCCTGATATCATGTTAAATTGTGTGACCACTTATTTAAAACTTTAAAATATTAGAGAAAATACACTTTTATTTACTTAATTATGATATTTCCACCCGGTCTAGCCATCGCCGCGAATCACACGCATGGAAGGCACGTATGCGTCGTAAGGGACGAAGCGTCCAGAGTAGAATACGTCAGTGCCATGCAAAAATTATCGCGCGACGTGTCCTTGCCGGAAGTCGTGGTGGGAGAACATGTGGAGGAGATAATTAGATCAAAGCTGAGTAGGGTTGATTTTCTTGTTGTTGATGATTGGACAAAAGACTTTACTAGAGCTTTCAATAGTGTTAAACTGAACCAACATGGAGCAATTTTAGTATGTAAAAGTGAAAGCAAAGGGAATAATATAATAAGTAGCACTAAATTCAGCTGGAAAGGGGTCCTTGACGCCAAAAGTACGTGCTATAAGAGCAGTAACAGTTCCAGTTGGAAATGGATTAGAGATTGCTTATATAGCAAGCAATGATGGAAATCTGAAGTACTCCACAAAAATTCCCAAGCGTTGGATTAGTCATGTTGATCGAGGCTCAAGTGAAGAGCATGTGTTTCGACGATGAATAAGTCCTATTTAATTGGGTGTGATTAACATGATGAGGAGCTCAAATACGAAACAGTTAATTTCCTCTTTTTTTTGTATATACAGAAGGATATATAAAATAGTAGGAGCAGTATTTGGTTTAAATAATTTCTGCATAAAAGTCATCGTACTTAACTTTTCTGGTGATGCATATGTAATCTAGTGAAAGATTCGTGTATTATGTACTTACATGTGAACGTACGAAACCTTAAAAAGGGAAGAAAAGAGCAATTTAACGAGAAAATAGCAACTATCGGCTCTTACATGGTAAAGCTTTGAAACTCCTTCATTTTTCTACCAAATGATACTTCATTGAGTTAGACAAAGTGTGTAATTATATTCTCACGCTTGTAAGGGGCGGAATACAAAATCAATACTAAGTATTAATTTGTTGGAGGAAGAAAAAAAGAAAGATAAACATAGTACTTTCTTAGTATTGCTAAAATTATATACTTAACAATACTTCTCATATGTTGAAGGAAAAAACAGGCAAAATGCCAAATTAAATTAGAAAAGAATGCGTATATATGACAAATAATTTTCGTGAACGGAGATAGTAGAAGGAACCGACTGAATAAATATTAAAGTAAGCATTTCGATCAAGTGGAAAGTTATCGCACAAGGGAATAATCACTATTAGAAACACATGGGTTTTCCCACGGCGAAATCAGTGGGAAACTGGGGGAAAATCGAGTTTTCACACCGCACTCCCACTGAAACGGATCACCAGGAAAACGCTTAGTCGGAAATATCTTCCCAGAGAAGAGGTGAAAAATTTCCCACGGTTTTCCCAGCGAATATTTAATAGGAAAAAATAATGAAGTTTCCCGCCAACAATCAGTGAGAAATATTATTAGTAATTTTTATTAATTTTAATACATTAGCCAGGGAAGTGATGGAAAAAATGCATGGGGATCTGAAAATAAAGTATGAACTTGCCCACTGACAACCGTGGGAAATATGCAAATTCTGAAAAATAAAGTATGAACTTTCCCATCGATATCCGTGTGAAACATGTAAATTCTGAAAATAAAAGTATGAACTTTTTCATCGATATCAGTGGGATAAATGCAAATTCTGAAAAACAAATGAACTTTCCCACCGATATCAGTGGGGAAATATGCAAGTTCTATAACTAAAGTGACGAACCTTCCCACTGATTCAGTGGGAATGCCGTGGGAAATCTGAAAATTATTTTTGTGCACAATGCTGCTTTTTATACTGCACCACCTGCCAAACAAAACATACAACCACCAACAACCTAAATACAATTAAACATTCACACAAAATTCAGCATCTTCCGATCCATTTCATTAATTAACAACCAACCAAAATTGAAAATACTAGAAACCAATAATGCAACTAAGCATTCAAATAAGAAATTCAACATTCAATCTTATCCAATTGATACATAATATCCAACACCATAGTCCCACCCAAAATCAGATTAATAAAAGAAACCACTCCTTAGTCTTGTTAGAGCGCGATGGAGAACGTGGTAGAGGAAATGCACCAGATGCTAAGAGGGAGTTTAGCTGGGCCTTGAGGATTTCAACGTCACCAGTGACACGTGTAAATGCAGCATCATTTCGCCTCATTTCTTCCTCCCTCCGCCTCTCCTCTTCCTCCCCCCGCCTATCTTCTTCCTCCCTTCGCTTTGCCTCATCCTCCCGCGCAGACTTTTCATGTGCATACAACTCAGTGTTCTCTTCTATTCTTCTATTCAATAGCTCAAACTCATCCTGATTAATCGAGGACCTTGAGGAAGAAGAGCCACCAGATCCAAAAGACCGACGACTAGAACTAAACTTTGATACAAGGCCGTAAACTCTTCCCTTATGTACGCCACCAGTTGCCTTAATCCACAAGTCCATATAATTCTCCTGGGATGGTTGGATTAGATTTCCTTGATCATCAGTTAGTTGGCTTTGAATGAACTCCTCCAAGGATTGTTTGAAAGTATTCTGCAAAAAAGTTACAACTATTATATGAACAAATTTAATCAATGAAAAATATTAAAAAGTAACTTGAAATATTACATAGGCTGTCTCGGTTCGTGGCTCGATCCAAGTTGTCTTTGTTCCATCCTTTAGCTCTTCATATGTGTATACTCAAATACCTCATCTTGAGTAACTGGTCTTTTAAAAGACTTTTCCTGTTAAATACCATTTAATGCAGTAAGTTCATTTTGTTAAATTTTTATATTTTTTCACTAGGGACAAAATTTATTTGTTTCACTAAATCATTAAATATTTACAAGTACAATAGCTATTGCTAGAGAATTTCTTTTCTTGGTTGATGCATAAGAGATAAACAACACATGAAAAAAGCAAAATTAAAGTATTATGTCCATGAAACTTCAAAAAAATCAGTTAACTATTCTCAAATTAAAGTGCTATGTCTACGAAACTTCAAAATTATACTGAAAGTCATGTTTGACCTCCTTGAGTGTTCAAAATTAAAGTGCTATGTCTCGAAGAAGATTATGCTTCCAATAAGGTAACTCCCAAAATATGCTTTGTTTAGTCCAATTATGATCAAGGCCATAACCAGGTATTCTAGCTGGTGGAGACTCCGTTACCTTAGGTAAATCTTTAACCCTCTCTTAAATTTCCTCACCTGACAAGGTTGGTGGTGGTTCATCATAATCTATTTGATTCTTCATAAACGCACTAGTATTTCTCCTGAACTCATGATCCGTTGGCAATAACCGCCGGTAACAGTCAAACCATGTGTTTTTACCTCCATGTCTCAAAGTGAATGCTTTTGTATCTTCTATACAGTAGGGGCAGGCTAACTTTCCAGCAGTCAACCACCCAGACAACATTCCATACGCAAGAAAATCATTAATAGTTCACATCAAAGCAGCACGCAATCTAAAGTTTTGCTTAGTTGATATGTCGTATGTTTCAACACCTTCATGCCACAATAATTTTAGATCATTAATCAACGGCTGCAAATATATATCAATTGAACCTTTTGGATTACTTGGACTCGGAACTATGCAAGTTAGGAACAAATATGAACTTGTCATACACATTTCAGGTAGAAGATTATATGGCATAACAAAGACTGGCCAACATGAATATGGTGCAGCAGAGACAGAAAATGGAGTGAATCCATCTGCACACAAACCCAAACTAACGTTTCTTGGTTCATTAGCGAAGTCTGAAAATATCCTATCAAAATGCTTCCACGCTTCTCCATCCGAAGGATGACACAAAACACCAGTCGGCCTTCTATTTTCATGGTGCCATCTCATATGAGGAGCAGAACTCATTAATACATACATCCTCTTTAATCTAGGTATAATTGGTAAGCAATGCATCTTCTTAACTGCAACTTTCTTACCTTTGGCATTTGTGACTTCCTTAAAATGAGACAGTCCACAAAATTTGCACGCTTCTAGAGCCGCATCATCTTTATAATATAACATACAACCATTTTCACAACAATCAATTTTTGTTGAGAACAGTCCTAACTTGGAAATCAATTTCTTTGCATTATAGTAATCATTGGGTAAGTTAATGTTTGGACTAACTTTACTCATGAGCCCAATTATAGCATTCATGCCCGCTGGAAAAATATTCCAATCTGATTTAATAGTTAGTAATCTAACTGCAACAAACAACTCAGAGTGCTTTGAGCCTTCATAGAGTGGACGACTAGCCGACTCTAATGATTCATAGAAGCGCTTTGCCTCATCATTGGGAGGTTCAACAACATTTTGTTGGGATTGAACCCCTGGGTAAAAACCAAAAGCATCTGACACCATTTCATGTAATCGAGAATTTTCAACATTATTCTTCATTTGTGTACTTCTCTCATCACTAACTAGATTTTGAAAATGAACATCACCAATACTACAATAGTTCTCTCCATGAACAGTTCACACATAAAGATGAACTTTAATATTTTCCGGTTGTAACAACTTTGTACACTTGCATTTCACACGAGGATACCTAATTGTTCCTTCGTTACGAAATTCAGGAAGTGTTTTTGCATGAGCAATAAATCCTTTAACACCTTCAATAAATTCTTCTTTTAATCCGCAATGATTAGGATGATTCCTATCGTACATCCATCTATGATGTTCACGTTCCATCTAGTACACAAATACACACAAACAAATGAATAGACTTAGAACAATTTATTTATTTCAAGTTAGTTTACAATTAATCTTGAATAATATACCTTAAAAAACTCACTTAGTTTACAATTAATTATGAATAGTATACCTTAAAGAACTCACTTTTATTCGTCTTTTTATAAGTCAAGAAAAGGCTATGGTTCTAGATCAAATTACTATGAATGAAAAGTACTTTTTCATAGAAATGCTCCTATTAAGTTCTTGAAATCAGTTTAAAAAGTCAAACCAAGATTCTAACACATTGGTTATCATCCATAAATAAATTTAAACTTGGAGGATAGATATAATATTCACAATAAAGGATTTTTTATCAAGGTAAAAGTAATATAAATTTATGTAGTTGTTCTAGCAATTTAACAACTTAACTTATATTTAACAGCTGAAACCAACTTAAAGATTAGCAAATGAAGTTACCTCAAGACTTATAACCTGATTTTGTCTTCTTTCATACTTTTGTATCTTCATTTCCCGGTCACTTAAAAAAGTTGAAAACTTGTAAGCATATATTCTATGAAAACTGTTTGGAGAAATGACTATTAATGTACAAGGATAGAAAAGCAACTTTTCCACTATCATAGAAAATAGTGGAAGAGTATCGAAAACTAGAAGATGAAGAAAAAAAATTTATAACTTTAAGAAAGAGTGTGCTCTTCTCTTGCAATCTAGCTTGAATAGAGTGTATTGCTATTCTAGGTTTTCCCTTCCATTGTTGCTTTTTCAATTGATGATGCTTAAATAACAGAGTATTTTATGTCATCAAAACTAAATAGGTCAAACACAGTCAAGATTGAGAGGTAACACCAGGAATTTTTGTTGATTTACTTAAACAG